GTTTAGCTGACTCATCTGCATGAAGCTAAGATCTGGTAAACTTGTTGACCAAAAAACAAAACTAAGCAAGGTATCTTAACTTCTTGCTAGTATTGGCACTAAGGAAGTAAGATTCTATAATGTTTGTTCGAGTAGGACATAAGCTAAAAAGTGTAAATCAAACCTACCTCAATAAGGGAGACTGATTATCTGGGTCGAACAAATTTGTTCGTGTGGGAAATAAGTTGACTCTGAGTTGAATATGCTAAGTATCAAAAAATGAACGATGTCGAAAATATTGTGAAACATTGTCACCATATATTCTATGAAGATCGTGATTTCAATCCAATACATTGTCAATTTATACACTAGTTAATTATTTTAGAAGTATCTATGTAATAGTCAAGTCTTTGTTAAGAAATCGCATTAGCACAAAGGCTTAATTCTTAAAAAGTCCTAAAATGTTCCAAAAAATCAATAGTTGAAGAGNNNTTCCAAAAAATCAATAGTTGAAGAGGGTACAAACCAATTCTAATGGCAAATCATAGGACCACCACAAAAGACAAAAGTCAGAGATATACCACTGACTGTCCAAATATTCTGTCTCTTCATGTCCTGCCTTTACTGTCAGTACTTTTTACCACTCCACAGTAAAAAATAAAAATAGAAGAAACATAAAAAAATATCCCAAGAAAATCTTTTTACTAATTAAGGCATATTAATTTTCCATTTTCGAAAATGAATCATCACCACCATGTGCAGTTATCCATCCCCTTCACTAAACCTTTTGAATCATTCTTAGGCCTTAGCCAATAATTTTTTACAATCTATCACCTCATTCTGATAAAAAGGTTGTTTAGTAATCGAACCAGCGAGCATGTGCGACGGTGATTTTCCCTACGGTGGATGTCAACAGTTCAATCCGATTATCTCCACGTTGGACATTAGGGATATCGGAGAATGTCAATCACTTGTTCTTAAAATTAGCATTCTTAAGATCAAAGAGTGGGACGGGCAGGGGAAATCTCTCCATAGTCCGGGAAAGAGAATCAGATTCTTCTGACAGATTTGATTCTGATTAAAAGGACACTGCATTTTACAAATTCTGTTAGGCTTGTCTTCCATAAATGCTTTATATATCAAAAAGATTGATGAAAATAGAAACTAATCAACAGATTTTTGAAGTGACAAC